CCAGAGTGTCCGCCATAATGGTTGCTGGGTATATATATATATAGACTAGAGGCCCAGTGCATAAAAATTTGTGCTGTGAAGGGGGTCCCTCAGCCCGGCCTATCCCTTCTCACAGTCTGGGAATCTTCAGGGGATGTCCTACTGACGGCTTAGTGGGAGGCAACTGGGCCAATCGGGGGAAGGCGCCGCGCCCATCACCCCGCTGCTCTTGCTGCCACTGCCAGCCCTTGCTGCCACCCCGCCTTGACCCTTTCAGCCGCTGCGACTTTGTTCGGAAGAATGTCTGGAAGATGTCTGGTCTGTCTGGTCTAATTAGCATATTACCCTTTTATTATCGATAGTATAGATTATCCCATCCTTAGCAATTTTAAAGTACAGTGCCATTTTTGAAAATCTGCTTAATCACCTTTTCAAGGAAAATAATCTTGTATGTGTAATGCCAGTTTACTTGTGAATTGACTTGCTAACACTTATTACAGCAACTTTATCAAAGTTTATTAAACTTTTAATACTTTATTATATTTATCAAGAATTAAATGATTATTCTGATGGTTGAAAATGCTAGAATTTGCATTTTATAACTTAATTAGAGGCTTGGTATATGAAATTTGTGCAGGGAGGTGTGTGTTCCTCAGCCCAGCCTGTACCCTCTCCAATCTGGTACCCCTTGAGAAATGTCTGACTGCCTGTTTAGGCTTGATCCCAGTTGGACATCCCTCTCAAAATCCAGGACTGCTGGCTCCCAAATGCTCACCTGTCTGCCTTCCTAATTAACCCTAACTGCTTGCCAGCATGATCAACCCCTAACCACTCCCCTGCCAGCCTGATCGATGCCTAACTGCTCCCCTGCCAGCCTATTTGCCCCTAACTTTCCTCCCCTGCAGACCTGATGCCTCCCAACTGCCCTCCCCTGCTGGCCATCTTGCGGTGGCCATCTTGTGTCCACACGGGGGCAGCCATTTTTGACCACATGGGGAAGCTATTGTGTGTTGGAGTGATGGTCAATCTGCATATTACTCTTTTATTAGATAGGATAGAGGCCTGGTATACGGGTGGGGGCCAGCTGGTTTGCCCTGAATGGTGTCGAGGATCAGGTTGAAGGTTCTTTTGGGGCGTGGGGTGGCCTGAGCGAGGGGCATGTGGTAGTTTGCAGGCTGACCATGCTCCTTGGTGACCCAAGCGGAGACCCTGGTATCTGGGATTTATTTACCTTCTACAATTGAAACTTTGTAGCCTAAAGCGGAGCCAAGCTTTCTGCTTGCTCAGTGGCTGCCGCCATTTCTGTTTGGATTTGTTTACCTTTTATAATTGAAACTTTGTAGCTTTGAATGGAGGCTTAGGCCGGCAAGGGCAGGTGGAAAGCTTGGCTTCCTCTGTTGCCTGGGAAACCCAAGCCTCACTCCTGTTCTCTGTGGCTGTAGCATTCTTGGTTGGGTTTATTTGCATACTCGCTGCTTGACTGGTGGGTGTGGCTTTGTGATCGTTAATTTTCATATTACTCTTTTATTAGGTAGGATTATTGTTATTGAATAATTGTAGTTAGTATGGACAGCTTGTCTTGTTCCTACTCTTAGAGTGTATGACACTGTCATATATAGCCTTTATTAAGTTGAAGTAAGTACCTTCTACCCACTTGATTGGGAGTTTTTATCATAAATGTGAAAGAAGAGACAGAGGGCTGAAGTCCAGGACTACAGGCTTTATTAGAGGAGAGGGACCCCTGCCGGGCTGCCTTGCGAAGGAAGAGAGCTCACCTGCAGGAGTGAAGACACCTTTTGTGGGGAGGAATGGGAAGGGATGGGGCTTAGAGTACTCGGCACACGATGATTGGTTGTTTCATATAAGGCACATGATTAGGCACTTAAGTACTAAGGAATCAAGGGCTTAGGGTATTTGGCAGATGTTGATTGGTGGTTCATTGTACAGTCCATATAAGGTGCCTGGTTAGGTGCTCAGGAATGTCCATGCTGCAGGTGCAGGTTACTTCATACTCGGTCCATCAGTTAGGGGAAGGGAGGATCTATCAAAATGGATGTTGAATTGTTTGATTTTTATCCTTGGTTATGTGGTTGAGATGAGTAACATTAATTATTTTGTGGGTGTTGAACCATCCTTGTATATCTGGTATAAATCTCGAACGTGTTTTGTAATCCTTTTAATGCATTGTTGAATTCAGTTTAATAGTATTTTATTGAGAATTTTTGCCTCTATGTTCATCAGGAATATTGGCCTGTAATTCTCCTTTTTTGTAGTGTCTTTGACTTTAGTGTAGGATAATGCTAACATTGTAAAGTGAGTTTAGAATCATTCCTTTCTCAGCTTTTTTTAAATAGTTTGAGAAGGATAAAGTATTTTTTTAAAACATATTTTATTATTTTTTTAAAATATATTTTATTGATTATTTACAGAGAGGAAGAGAGAGGGATAGAGAGTTAGAAACATCAACCAACTGCCTCCTGCACACCCGCCACTGGGGATGTGCCCATAACCAAGGTACATGCCCTTGATCAGAATCAAACCCGGGACCTTTCAGTCCGCAGGCTGACGCTCCATCCACTGAGCCAAATCGGTTTTGGCAGAGAAGGATAAAATATTAATTTTTTTAATATTTCATAGAATTTACCCATGAAGCCATCTGGGCTTTTGATTGGTGGGAGTTTTTTGTTTTTTAAATATATTTTTATTGATTTCAGAGAGGAAGGGAGAGAGAGAGAGAAATATTAATGATGAGAGAGAATCACTGATTATTGCTTCCTGCCTGCCCTCACGGGTAATTGAACCCGTATCCCTTACTTTTTATTTGTCTGGGAAACACTATCTTTCCTTCAATTCTGAATGATATAGTATTCTAGGTTGTAGGTTCCTTTCAACTCTTTATTTCCTGCTACTTCCTTCTGGCTTATAGAGTTGCTGCTGAGAAATCAGTTAATAGCCTATGGGGTTTCCATTGTATGTGACTTGTTCACTCTTGCTGCCTTTAAGATTAACTCTTTATCCTTAACTTTTACCATTTTGATTATACTGTGTCTTGGTATGGGCCTCCCTTGGATTCATCTTGTTTGGAACTCTGCTTCCTGGACCAGGATGTGTATTTCCTTCCTCAGATTAGGAAAGTTTTTCAGCCATTATTTCTTCAAATATACTTTCTGCCTCTTTCTGACTCTTCTCCTGGAATTGCTATAATGTAAACTTTTAGACTGTTTGATATATGTTATCACAGAGGTCCCTTATACTCTAATTTAAAAAACTATATTTTTTCATTTTGCTGTTTTAGTTGGGTGATTTCCACTATTCTGTCTCCAGGTCCCTAATCTTTTCATTTATATTAACTATATTACTGTTGACTCCTTCTAATGTATTATTTATTTCAGTTATTTTGTTCTTTAATTATTATTTGTTACATTTTCTAACTTTTTTAAAAGCTCTCTGGTTCCTCTATTCTATTCTCAAGATTGTTGAGCATTCTTATGACCTTTTCTTTCAATTTTATAGCAGGCAAATTACTTATCTCTGTTTCATTAGTGTTTTGTTAAGTGGGGGTTTTCCCTCTTCATTTGGGGCATGCTCCCCACGTCCCCGTTTGTTTTACTTTCTGTGCTTATTCCTATGAATTAGATAAAATAGTTTTCTAAATCTTGAAAAGTAGCCTCTGTGTAGACTGCATACAGATGGTTTTGGCAGGCTGGTTGTAGTGTGTGTGTGTGTGTGTGTGGTGCCTCACGTGCTGCCTGACCAGGAGTGGGTTTAGGGCAGGCTGTCTGGTATGGGCCTGTATCCTGTTATCTGTAGCCCGATTGGGTCTGGGCAGGGCTGCTCTGAGTGAGTGCATCACACTGTCCTACTAGCTTCACATTTCTCTGGATGGAGCAATCCCGTGTGCAGCAGTGCCCACTCCGACCATTACGCTTTGCTACCTTCACACTTTCTCCCAGTGGGGCAACTCCGTATGCATGAGCAGCAGCACCCCACTGTCTCTGCAGTTTCTTTGGACAGGCAGCAGGTACCACAGCATTTTGCTAGCTCTGCTCTCTCCCTGCCATACCCACTGGCTCAGTCTGGGTGAGGCCCCTGGTATGAATGCTCTGTTGCCTTCCTGTTGTGTTTGAGCTAGCTCTTGGGAGAGCTGGCTGGCTGGGTACGTGCCAAGGCAGCACTGCAGGCTGGCCAGAGAACCTGGATAGAGTTCCTTCTGCTGTCCAAGTGCAAGGGAAAGCAAACAATGGCTCTCACAGCTCCTCTGTTCCTGAACGGTTCCCGCAACTTCTGGAGAGCTCTTGTTTCCCAACCTTCTCCATGTGGTTTCTCTCTATTGTTTGTTTTGCAGAAGCTGTTGAGTTGTCTCTCAGGAGGAATTGATCTAAATATAGGTGTGCATTGGATGTGTTCTTGGGAGGGGCAAGCTCAGCAGCCTCCGATGCCATTTTGGATCTGCCTCTCTGCCTTCATACTTTGAATGGACAAATAGGACAACTTACATTAATGGCTTTCAGTTGGGGGTGTTTTTGCTCCAGAGGACATTTGGCCATGGTTGCTAAGCACCCTGTGATGCACGGAACTGCCCCTACCACAAAGAATTAGCCCAAAATGTCAATGGTGCCACTGCTAAGAAACCCTAGCTGAAATTGAGAGAGCTGGGCCCTGGCCAAGTAGCTCAGTTGGTTAGTGTGTCGTCCTGAAATGCCAAAGTTGTGGGGTTCCATCCCTGGTCATGACACATACAAGAATCAACCAATGTGCATAAATAAGTGAACATCAAATCAATGTGTCGCGCGCTCTCAAATCAGTAAATAAAAACAATTTTTTGAGAGTGTCCTTCTGTAAATACATTAGTAGCCATCAGAAAAAGAATACTTAGTCCTACCTTTTAGAAAAGAGGCTACATAGAAATTGGCAATTTAGAGATACGGATAGGTATATTGGCATAACATTCTCAGATCATTTTTTATATTTTCAAAATAGGAAAACTCAAATATAGGGTTACTGGTTTTCTTATTTTACAGATGGGGCCGAGGATTTGGTCTTTTGGGTTCCATTTTTGGAAAGGATGGTGCATTAAATCAGCCAAACAGTGTCTTTGGACTTATATTTTATATACTACAGTTATTACTTGGTAAGTAATTATACAGCAATACAAAAATAAATTTTTTGTTATATTCCACTTAGTACTTTGTATCTTTGCTCTGATGCATGTGTCTTTATCTTAAATAAAAGCATATATTAATGACAGAACCAATAGTTTGTTTCACTTTTTTTGTGTGTTGTGAGACTTTGTTCAGTCTAATTTTGATGAAGCTAATGCTGAACTTGGTATCTGCTGGTATTTAGTCAGAGATAGTGGCATCCCGTGATGTCTATAAAAACTAGTCCTATTTAGAGAAATTATTACTCCAGTCTTCCCTATAAACCTTTCTCCTTACTATTTTATATACTTATTAGCTATTTTTAAATATATGCTTTGGGAAAACATTGATGGTTAATGATATTCATAATTCCACCACCTTTACCTTACCCACTATTTTCCATTGTCTTGATTTTTTCACTTATTTTTATACAAACTCTTATATTTTCTACCCTCTTAAATGTTTTGTATTGTTGACATCAGGTTTCAAAATTTTTTATGTCTAAATAATACAGATCAACTTTTAAGTCCCATTCTCCCCCACCCCCCACCGCCTTCCCTCCCCCCAACCCCCCCACACCCCCACACCCACAACCTTCCTTCTTTGAATTATTTCCATGGAATAAATTTCCAAATGTGGGATAAATGAGACAAAAACAAGGTTTTTAAATGGAGTTTAGTAGGTACTAACAAACTGCTTTTCCCTCAATTGTCAGGTTTCCCAGAAGCTCCATCATCTTCATTTTAAGAAACTGTTTTCTGTAAAATATCTAATATAAGTTATATATTAGTAGCTATTACTTTTATTTTACTATATTTTAACTTTATTTTCAATTTAGTTATTGGGATCCTGATATAGTCCATTTCGTATTTGTTACAAACATTTAACCTGTTCTTTATCCTTTTATTATGTTAGTTTTGTGAATTTTGATTGTATAAAAGTTTTCATATTTTTAAAGTTAAATTCATTTATTTTTGCCCTTGCATTTCAATTATTATTATTTCATCCTATTATCTGCCAGCTCTTCTGTGAAGTTGATTTGTTATGAGGCAAACTGTGAATCTAAAGTTTTCTCAATGTCCTAGTAAGTTTTTCAATTCCATACTTATATGTTCTGTAGAAATAGAAAAACAGGCACAAGAATATTCATTGCAGAATAGTTTAAAATAGCAAAGAATTAGAAGCAGCTTAGCAAAACATAATGGTTGAATAAATTAAGTTACATCCATACGAGAAAACAGTGTAACCATTAAAGGAGAAAATAGGTCTACATGTGAAAAGATAAAGGCATAGTTTAGTGAAAAAAGCAAATTGTGGTATATAATATAATATATATATATGCAAGTAAATGTATAAGGGTGTAGTGGTTGGGGGTCAAGGGTGAGACTCTCACTTTTTATTCCATTTATTGGTTTTGTTTGGATTTCTAAGCCCAAATTAAAATAGCCTAAGAAATGTTTTTTTGGAGATAGAGATGGTACACATTTCTATTATATTTAATATCATTATGTATAGATATTTCAAATCATATATTATATGTATTTTTTTCTATTTGCATTTTATGCTTTTTTGTTTAATCCTTACCCAAGGATATTTTTCCCATTGATTTTTAGAGAGTAGAAGGAGAAGGTTAGAAGGGGAGGGAGGGAAAGAGACATCGATGTAAAAGACACATTAATTTGTTGCCTCTCTCCTAATCAGGGCCTGGGAACAAACCTATAACTCAGATAAATACCTTTGACCAGAATCAAACCTGCCACACTTCGGTGCTGGGCTGACCTCTAACCATTTAGCACCACCGGCCTTTTTAATGTCGGGGTCTTTATCATTGGAGGCACATTTGAACTCATGTAGTTTTCAGAGTACATCATCTTCACTTCTAAGTTATTTGAGATACAGTATTTTAAATTAATTTATTTATAGTTAATTCTCATGATTCAAAAGGTTTTTTTTAAATGTATAAAATTCTACACAGTAAAAAGTCTGTCCCACTCTTGTTCCCTTCTGCCCACTTCCCACTGCCTCTCATCCAACTGGTAGCTTCTTGTTGCTGCTGTTAGGGGATTTCTTTAGACGTATAATACAAGGAAACACAGATACATAACCTTAATTTTCTTTTTCTTTTTTTTAAAAAAGGACAAATGCTATACACACTGTTTTACGTACTTTTTGTTTTGCTGACTGACATATCATGGTGATCTTTCCATAGCAGAACATTAAGTCTTCATTCTTTTTCACAGCTGCAGAATATTCCATTGCTTTATTGTACAATCCTCTATTTAGAGTTACAGCACATTTTAATTCCACTGGAAGTTTATCCCAAACCACCATTACATTACATTAGAACAAGTTTGGTACAATGGTATTTAACTAATAGCTAGTGTTTATAAAGCATTCTAAGTATTTATACCTATTAGCTCTCTTAACCTGCACAATGGTATTAGTATGTAGTCATGATTATCCCAATTTTACAGGTAAGGAAATATCTTGTTCATGTTATTTGAAACTAACTTTCTGAGGTTAAAATTAAGTAGCAGCATAATTTTTGAAGTGTTAGATGTTTAGTTTAGATAAGATCACCAAACTTTTAGCATAGAGCTGGAAGAAAATAATTGAGGCACCTGGCCCATGTGGCTCAGTGGTTGAGTGTTGACCCATGAACCAGGAGATCCTGGTATGATTTTCAGATAGGACATATGGCTGGATTGTGGGCTTGATCCCTAATAGGGGACTTGCAGGAGGCAGCACATTGATGATTCTCATCTTTGGTGTTTTTCTCTCTCTTTCCCTCTCTCTGAAATAAATAAAAACTTAAAAAAGAAAATAATTGAAGCTTTGCTAACTGTCATAACTACTCAACTCAGCCACTAGAGTGTGAAAGCAGCAATAGGTATTACATAAATCAGTTAGTGTAGTTGGGTTCCAGTAAACATTTATTTATTTATTTATTTATTTATTTATTTATTAAATATATTTTATTTATATTTTACAGAGAGGAAGGGAGAGAGCTAGAGAGCTAGAAATGTCGATGAGAGAGAAACATCAACCAGCTGCCTCTTGCACACCCCCTACCGGGGATGTGCATGCAACCAATGTACATGCCCTTGACTAGAATCGAACCTGGGACTTTTCAGTCCACAGACCGACGCTCTACCACTGAGCCAAACCGGTTTCAGCCAGTAAACCTTTATTTACAAAACCAAGTGGCCCATCAGATATGCTAGTCCCTGGCATTAATAATCCAATAGCATCTTAGTCCTGAAAGCTTCCCTTATTTTATTTTATAAAAATGTTTTTATCGATTTCAGAGAGGAAAGGAGAGGGGTAGAGAGAGAGTGCGAAACATCAATGATGAGAGAGAATCACATCACCTGAGCATGTGCCCTTGACCCTTCAGTCTGCAGGCCGACACTCTATCCACTGAGCCAAACCAGCTAGGGCAAGCTTCCCTTTAAAAAAAAAAAAAAAAAAAAAAAAATGCTTACCTGCCCTGACCGGTGGCATGGGCAAGCCAGGCCCCTGTGGCTAGCTGCGTTCCACAGGCCACTTTAACAGGCAGCATGGATTTTAGCTCCTTAACTAACTTCTTCAAACCTACCATCACCTTTTTTTTTTTCTGTTCTGTTTGTTGTTCTGACTCATTAGTTGTTGGGTAAGAGGGTAGTTTAATATACTGTGCTATTTCTTTAAAAATAAATGCTTGTGTTCTCAGTATTGTTGGATATAGGAAATTATAAAACAATACATGTAAAGATGTCTGATGGCATCAAGAATTCAGGCAAGGTTTTGTCAGGAGGGCCGCAACCTAGCACACATAACTGCATTTTTTCTTGATCTGGTTTGACCCACATGTGGTCAACTGGCCAAATGTGGTTTCCTTATCCTCCAGGGTGAGCTCTTTCTGCATGGTTTTGTTTGTTTTGTTTATTTTTTAATATATTTTATTGATATTTTACAGAGAGGGAGATAGCAAGAAACGTCGATAAGAGAGAAACATCGAACAGCTGCCTCTTGCACACTCTTTCTGCATGTTTTATTTTTTTCCTTCTTTAGCATGCTGGTGTAATCATTTCCCATTATGGATTTTTTACAAATTTGGTCTAAACATGGGAAAGCAAATTTTATTTCCCACATATGAGGAGCCTGTCGTGAGAAGGCCAGGGAAAATGTGTACTGCTTGGAAGAAAAGGTTGTGGTCCTAAGGTTACTTTACTCATTAAGAAAGGTGGCACTGTAGTTTCACACATTGTCTTCATTGCATGTGATTGCAAGATTGCATATTTTCTTTGGTGCCATACGAAGGCTCGTTTATGAAATAAGTAACGTCATCTAGAACAGCAGTCACCAACCAGCGGTCTGCTGGTGGTCCGTGAGCTCCAAAAGGTTGGCAACCACTGGAAGATCAATATTTTCAACAGCAGCAAATCACAAAAGGCTACCTTTTAACTCAGAAACTTCCCATTGTCGAGGTCTGACTGAGCCAAGTGTCTCTTTCTCTTGCAGGCATGACAGCAAGTGCAGTTGCAGCTTTAATCCTCATGACATCCTCCATCGTGTCTGTAGTAGGGTCTTTGTACCTGGCCTACATTCTGTACTTTGTACTGAAGGAGTTTTGCATCATTTGTGTCATCACATACGTGCTGAACTTCATTCTTCTTATCATCAACTACAAACGACTAGTTTACTTGAACGAGGCCTGGAAACGGCAACTGCAGCCCAAGCAGGACTGACGGCCTGACGAACTTACCTTCAAGTCCCTTTTCCATTAAGTTAATTTCGCAGCATTTTTTTATTCTTCATAACAGACACTTTCCCTAAGAATCTTAAACTGATTTTTTAAAATCTTGTAAATTAGAAGGGTATTTTTTGTCAATCTTCATTTTAAATATGGATACAAAAAAAAAAAAGCATACGCCGAGCCAATCAAAGACAAGCTTTAACTTTACTTTGAAGATGTTTCTGAAATAATTAAATGTAGCCCTCCGTTGTAAAGTGAGCAACCATCGCTAATAACTCTCCAATGTGTATAAATTCAATTTCAGGTATAACAAATGTGATCATGACATGAAAATATTTTAGAATAGATACTGTATTAAGTATTGCCATGTTTACAATATGTAATATGTTTTTAGCCAATGGATTTAAACATGTAGATTCAACTAGAATTCATTTTTGTGACATTTGTAAATAAAGGTAGAAATATTGGATCCATCCCTGCAGAACTTGCTGTACAGTTGAGCTGAAGTGTAGCAATGAAGAACTGTCAGCTCAACACTGACTGAAGAAAAAGTGAAAATAGTTAAGTGCATACAGAGTCTTGTGAAAAGTACTGACAGCCGTGGGTCCAGCATTGACAGCAAAAATAATAGGGTAGTTGGTTCCCTTTCATCTCCTTTCTCCGCAAGGAAGAAACTCTTTGACATTCAAGTCAAACTTGTGTCTAGTCATAAAACTGGATCAGTTCTACCTTACAGAGTGAGTCATGTGACCAAACCATCAAGTCCAAGGCCTTCAGGACACTAAAGATGGGGAAATGGGTACATTTCTTTGGAGAAAAGCTGGAAATATATGAATTTTAAGGTAAAGTCTCCTAAAACAGTTGGATTTTATTTAGATACTTTTCCTTAACATTGGTGCCAACCAAACAGTATTATGGCTTTGAAATAATATAAGCCCATTCGCTCCAGAGTAGGATTGCTCTGGGATAGCTCTGTCTCCTGTTCCTTTCTGCACTAACTAATCGGATTTTTAACTTAATTGTTTTAGAGAAAAATATTGGCTATGTAAATTTTAGGGCTGATAACGCTGCTCAGTTAGCTTAATCGGGAGTATTTTAGGTAGAAATATCTGAAAGTGAAATACTAATGTCACTACTCTTTCTATAACTATACAAGTGCAGAATTTTTTAAAGTGATTTGAATTAACCCAAATAAAATTGTGACAGTATGCTTCTAAGGTTAACATATCAAAATGTTAAAAGTGCCTTCTGTCTTAAATCTCAAACCAAATATTTTCTGTTGAACTTGGGCAGAAGTGTCCTTCCTTCCTTTCTTGGCATGAAATAGATAACTTGCATTCTATATAAAGGTTCTTTATGATCATTTTATTCCTTAGATTGAGTAGTAGCAGCAACAGTTTTGCTTTCAATTTGATTAATCATTATATTAAAAATAGACCGGTAATTTAAGTGCGTATTTGCCTTTTTGAAGGAGAGGACAGGCTCTGCTCTGTAAACCTATGTGTAGAGTCAGCAGCTGTTTCCAACTAACTGTCATAATTGATACAATGTATTATTCTGGTCCAAGGCAGGTATAAAATCTGAATTGTAATGAACTATTGAGTTTAAACCAGTTTTATAAAAAGAGCTTAATTCAGATTTCATCCAGGCTGATGTTTTCCCATGAATGTGAATATTTCCATGCCTGTTTTATTATGTATGTATTATTCTTATTTCTATAGTTAAAGAACTCTAGAAAGCATTGATTAGATGCCCCGTGTGGATGGAGAAGCGAGTCCTGATATTGAAGTGAACTGTATAATGAGGCCACGTCACAGTGCTTCCAGCTCTACGAGCCGTTTACTGCTTCTCGTTTCCCAGCTACGGTGGCAATGGCTCAGCGGTTAAGACTTCTGTGGTACATATAACACTGGTCGTGCTAAGTTCCTCGTGTCCCAATTTAAAATGTGGTGTGTTTTTTTCTCATCATATTTTGTATCAATTGGCAGAGTATAGTTAAAGCTTGTCTTGATGTTGTCCTCTTGGAAATATTTGTCTTCAACTCAAAGAGAAAATGTAAAAATGTTTAGCCAGACCCTTCAAGTTTTTCCTTTATTTTCCTAAGCCTGGGGGGAAACACCACTGTTTCAGTTGTATTAAAAAATGGCCACATTCCTATGACCCAGAACTACTAATCACCTTTTTCTCATTGAGCAGTGAACATGTGTTGCCTGCACTGCAGCTCGTAATGCCGACGTCACAGTAAGCAACAGGGCCCTGCTGGGTGCTATTGGTACTTGTGCCCCGGAAGAGTGTGGGCTCCCTCCACGTGCTCTGCGTCACCCCGGAAAGGGGGAGGAAAGATACCATGTTTTAAAATTCCAGCATTGTGAGGACTATTGTAAAGCCACTAGCCACGAAAACTGAATTTCTGTTTTTGGCAGTAATTCCATGCTTCTTGAATTTTAAAATGATTGTAAATGAATTCTCTTATTAACTTGACAGTCACATAATTTGAAGAAATAAGAGAAGTTGTAGTTAAATGATAGGGAAGCTAGGTGGTTTGGAGAACCTCATTTGGTATTTCATTACAGCTAGATGCTGTCAGTAAGGATACACTAAGTGAAATTACTCAGGTTTAACTAGCTGTGTGCCAGGAATTACTTTTACTTGATGTATGTGGCCTCTTCTTAAACCCATTACTTTTAAAGAGGTGAAAGCAGTGACTATTTGCTTTCTAAGTGACAAAGATCTTTTGGTACTAGAGATCTCTGGATCAACAAGATAGGATAGAGGACCAAGACTATAGTGAAATTAAAATGATTTGTTGCCTTTAGTCTGCTTATATTTCCTTTTAAGACTATCAGCAAAAGTGCAAGGTTACCTTCAACAATTACTTCGTAACTAAGATTGACACCAGGGAATGCTGACAGATCGTGAAAATCAGTATTAAACAGATGCCAACAAGAAACCCACTACCTTTTTTGGTAACCTATTTGGGAAGAAGCACCTAATATGCAAACACTGGAAAAATCTCTCGCTACTCAGACATATTAGGCAGCACTTAGGGCTCCTCGTTATGAGAACTACCCTTCAACAAAACAAAAGGGGTTAGTGTGGGGGAGCCCAGGCCAATTGGTTAAACATGTTTTTAACAAATTGTCCCAGAAAAGATGAAATGTTTTCTTATAAAACTATTAAGCATGGCTGAAGTATGAGGTATAGTATGACCTGTATAGTATGCCCCATCAAAAATATTACTAGTGCTTTAAACTCCAGAGTAAACATTCTTTTAAAATGGAGTTCACTGGACAGATATCCCCTTTAATATTAGATAGGAATATTCTTTATCAGAGATTTAGGACTCAGTTTTGTTAACTGGTAAAAAAAAAAAAATGTAAATATGTAAGAATGTTTATTTGTTGCACATAACTTTTTTGGTATAAAATAAATGTAGAAGTTACCTGTGGAAGTTGTGCTGCCATCATTCTTATACTGCAGTATTACAGGTCAAAAAGAAGCGGAATGAATCCACTCATAAACTATTCTTAAAGTAACCTCATAACTGGAACCTCACATCTACAGGTACACCAAGTTATTTTTCCCCTCTTAAATCACATATAACTTATAGAACACACAAGCAGAATTCTCAGAGATTCTAGTTCCTGGGGTTTCTGCAGGTTTATAATTTATGTGGTTAAGCATGAAATAGGTGTGACAGCCACGTGGTAGCAGTTCTCACCTTACCGAGTGAATGGGCTCTTTCCCAGATGCCGTGGCCTCTCCGCTAGCGAGTGGTGCCCGACTCATTGGCAAGTTCCAGAAGCACAAAGAATGTAGGAACCAACTGTTTTTCCACTGCTCTATTTTAGCTCACCTTGAATACTCCGTTTTTACAAATTTCTAAAAGTCACATCTGCAATTTGGAATGCAGTTTAGCCATATTTTATTGACTAGAACAAATGTGTTCTGTGCCAGACCCTTAGGACTTAAGAAATGGGCCTGACAGACACATCATTTGTTTTGATCATTGAAATGTTCTTTGTGAGGATACGTTCCCTCTACATGAAAGGCAATGTGGGAAGTATAGTCTGAAAACCAGAACCGCTTTTTCAAAATTTACCGGTTTCCTTTGACCCAATTTGGATATTCATTTCAGAAAACAGAAAATAAAAGAAGACTAAAAGCCTCAAATGAGCCTTAAAACTCTGATTAGAAGTGATGGTGATAAGGCATCAAAAGTGAATGGGACACCTAGATTAGAGAAGATAAAAATACTTTGGTCCAAGAATTAAAGTATATTAAGAATTTACCTAAATGTAATGATTTGCCTGCAGGAAAACAAAAAATGGCATACCCTGTCTGTAATTTGGAGACATCCCTCGAATGAAAACAATGTTCTACCAGTTGTATGAGAAAGTGGACAATCTAAATAGGAATAACACGGGGAGAATTTGCAGTGAATGGCAGTGCTAAAGGGAAAAGCAAAAGGGTAATGGTCTGTTTTGGCTTTTAGAAAAAAAAAGGCTTAAAGATTAATTCATTATTTTGCCTTCATTTTTGTTAAGGACAGAAAAATCCCTGATAGGCAACAAATATCAAGTTTGCAGTTTTATTCTTTTGGTACAAAACAGTGGAATGCCAGGCTAGCAAAGCAGCCAGGCGCTCATTTATGATTAAACTTTTTTTTACTGAGAAGGTACCGTCACCCCACCATACCTAGGTGGGTATTTCTTCCACTGTAATGTTTGGGGGTTTGGTACAAAGATGTTTTATGTGTTAGCCTCCTGCCCTCATCTGAGCAGTCCTGGGTGAGGTCACCCCTGAAATTCCAGAGCCATGTTTTCTACATGGTGTTACATTTTGGGGGAAGAAAAATGGAGATCAAAGTTAGCCACCTTGCTAGTGTTCTTCAAAATAAAGCTGCACAGGATGGTGCAATGTCCTGGAAGAGCTGGTTTACCTCTGAGCTCCCTTCCAATTCTGACACTCCTCAACTCTTACCTGTGGCAACTAGTATGAGTGTTCATTATTTCAGCTTATCACTTTCTGTAAATTTGTTAGGATTGCAGCTCTCAGCTGTGGAGTTTTACAGGCTGGCCTGGTTTGGTACGTGAGCAGGATGGCTCTAAGGCAGGGGAGCAACTCCTACGAAGCAGTCTGTAACTAGCAACTCTGAACTTGTGTGAGTGTTAAAGCAAAAGTTTCTCAAAAGTCTATACCCAGTTAAGGCTATGTAAACAGCTTGACACAAAAATAACTTCCGATGCTTTTCAGCAGTACAGATCATCATTCAATTTATGGAATGGTCACTTCTGAGCCAACTCTTAATTCCCATACTACAAAATCCTTTATTTTCACTTCTAATGTTCCCTTCCAGCAAATGACTACAAAATCCAGACCAGAAACTCCTTTCTGCCACACATGGCCAGGAGGCACTTCCTCTGTTGGCTGTGCCACACCCTCACCTGGGAAGGAGGGGCTGACAGGTGTTGTCAGCCAAGAGGTAGTTCTTGCTTTACCAAGTACTGGGGCTCTTTCCCAGATGCTGTGGCTTCTCAGCTGGTGGGTGGTACCCAGTCTCGTTGGCAAGTTTCCAGTATCTCTCTCGTAAAAGGAACGCTGCACCTTTTGGTTGTCTCTGGCGAGTGAAGATCCCCTTTTTATTTCCTAGAACTCTGATCGTTGCTAAAAACAAGCAAGAGATGTTTTAGATGACTCCAATGGGCCAAGCTGGAGCCCAGCTGGGCACTAAAAAGCCTTACAGTTTAGGGTTGTTTGGTCTGATGTGGCCACTTAATGGGTTAAAGATTTACTACTGTTCCCCCAAAATACCTTAGCTCCTTGGAGTCAATTTTTCATCTGTTAGGGGAAACTATCCAAAATGGTTTATCTTTTACTTGCAAACTAAGGTCTAAACCATTAAGGTACCCAGATGCCTGGTAACTGGAGGGAGCAGAGATGAAAAGTGGGAGCCAGAGTCCTGACCAGCCTAGTTGCCCAGGTGGGACCTCCCAGCAGATGTCCATGTCATCCCAGCACCTTCCAGCGGGACTCCCCCTCCTGCTGGCGGGTCTGCCAGAGCTGAAGCTGGGTAGGGAGCGGAGCTGGCCACAGCCAGTCGTGACTGCGCTCGCAGCACACCTCCTCTCCAACCCTTTTGAAACCACAGTTTCCGTAAAACCAAAGTAGATCTTTCCCACCAAGAAGTTCAGACAACAGGGACTTCTTCCACAGTAAGCAAATGGCAGGCACTGTACCAAGCACCTCATCAAATGGATCCCTACATCAACCTGCAGGGTGGTGGCTCTGTCCCACTGTACAGGTTCATGAAACTAGGTAACTTGTCCAAGGTCACAAAGCTAACTCGCACCACACAAAGCTGGGGCACCTGCTCAGGAAACTAGACTGCCATGCAGGGTATTTCCAGAAGCCGTTCTCATTAGCCAAGCAGAGTAGAGGCTCATGTTCTCATTCTTCTGTTTAACTTGTCCCATTCAAACTTTAAATTTGAACCTTCCAAAGACCTGTCTCTCCCCTTAAGTAATGCACTGTAATTGCTACAACTACTAAACCCTTCCCCACTCTCCAAATTGCCATCCTTAGTTTAGGGTCTGGAGCAGCCCTATCTATCCCACTTGAGAAAGCTGTACAGATGTATTCTGGAAGACATTTGAACACCCCACACTCAAAATGCTTGGACATGCCCGGCCAGCATGGCTCAATGGTTGAGCATCAGCCAATGAACCAGGAGGTCACAGTTAATTCCCAGTCAGGGCACATGCCGGCTGTGGACTCAATCCCAGTGTGGGGCGTGCAAGAGGCAGCTGATCGATGACTCACTTTCATCACTGATGTTTCTATCTCTCTCTCCCTTCCTCTCTGAAATATATTTTTTATTTGGGGGAAGATAAGAGATCAACCGAAGGCCTTGTATACATGCATATAAGTACAACCAATGGACACAAAACTCGGGGGAGGGAGGGTATGTATGGGGGGCGGCAATGTTAAAATATGTACACAGATAATAATTTAATAAAAATATTAATATATATATATATATTAATATTTTTTCCCCCCCTGTGTTTGACAAACCTGCCTCGTACAAGTGAATATCTTAAATTTCTCAGGCTTTGTACCCTACTCCGGAATAATGAGTGTATTTCACAATGCCCACTTTTTCCTCCGACTGTTATGAAACAGACATGGCAAGTTAGCCATTCTGCCTCGAGAGAGTAGGCTCTCCCATTTGCTTTTTTTACTGTAAAATGGGGAAGCAAGCAAGCAATTATTGCTTGTTAAAAGCAACTTACTTTTCCTACGAGACCTACATTGATTAGATCCACTTTCTCCCTCTCCTTTCCAATGTTCCTACCACCAAAAGGCCTGAACTGAGAGACCGACCTGAAAAAATTAAGAATCAGTACATTCTGCCGGGACCAGTTTGGCTCAATGGATAGAGCGTCGGCTTGGGGACTGAAGGGCCCCGGGTTCAGTTCCGGTCAAGGGCATGTACCTTGGTTGCGGGCATGTCCCCGGTAGGGGGTGTGCAAGAGGCAGCTGATCAATGACTCTCTCTCATTGATGTTTCTAACTATCTCTCTCTCTTCCTCTCTGTACAAAAATCAATAAAATATATATTAAAAAAAAAAAAATCAGTACATTCCATAAACCAAGTTACCACTTACATTGGTCAGTCATAAAATCGGCAAAATTCCAGATGAGCTCTCCAACCACATATTCTTCGCGTTTTTGATCCAGAACCAGATGATACTGCTCCAGCAGGCTTTTCTGGTACTCCTCGCTGAACATCAGAGGTGGGTCCTAGAATTCAAGGCAAAGAGAGAACTTAAGAATCAGAACTGGCAGAATTGTAAATGTCAGATAAAAATAAAGATCCATGTGATAAGGACCAAGATATCTGTCCTCAGGGTGAGCCGCTGGTGTAGAGACAGCCAAGGTATGAAAAAAAGATTTTTTTATTTTTTTATTATTTTTTAAATATATTTTATTGATTTTTCACAGAGAGGAAGAGAGAAGGATAGAGAGTTAGAAACATCGATGAGAGAGAATCATCGATCAGATGCCTCTTGCACAGCCCCTGCTGGGGATGTGCCCGCAACCATGCCCTTGACCAGAATCGAACCCAGGACCTTTCAGTCCGCAGGCTGACACACTATCCACTGAGCCAAACCGGTGCCAGCGAAAAAAAGATTTTTTTAAAAGAAACTTAATCAGTAACTACTTTATCAATATGAATTGCTTTATCTTTTCCATCTCTATTCACCAGCTCAACTACACTGGAAGTAAAAATGTCTAATTTAAAGCTCAAGTCTTCAGCAGCTGCCACTGTATGATTTGAGAACTAGTGTGACTCAGATTTACTCACCTCAGACTCACCTTTATCTGGTTTAGCACATTCATCATTCAACAAATAATCATTTAGTATGTGCTTATATGGCAGGTGTTGGACATGAAGTAATAAGCAAGAAAGATAAGTGGCCCCACCTTCACAGGCTTTCCAATCCAGCAAGTAAGACACAGGGAAATGTAACGAGGTGAGCCGGGAGAGCAAAGGAGCCGGGGTGTTTTGGCTGAAGGAGCTAATGCACTCAGGGAACACAGAAAACTCCCCTGAGGAACATCTAAGCCAGACCTGCCAGGTGAGGCCATGCCAACAGACCCATCCAGCCTTGGTGAAGGGCTGTGTGTCCTGTACTAGGACAGAGATCTTTCAGATGTTCCTGGGTCTGAGTTTTCATCTCGTGGGAACCTGGGGCGGTGGGGGTGAGGGAGGGGCTCTAGTGTTAGATGCTGAGGGATGTGGGATCCAGTCATTTGTGAGAGCACGAAGCCCTGTTGGCTCTGCCTTTCTTTTCCAGTGAGAAGGATTAAAATGCTGTATACGAAGCACTGAGAATACAACTGTACAACTGAGGCACAGTTTTGTTTCCGGTCCAAAGCTGAATTTGAGGGCAGGGCAAGATGTAGATTTTCTTACTTTGCTTTAATGGAAATAACCTTGCATTGTCTACTGAGTCACATGTGGCTATTTAAATTTAAAACTAAATTAGCCGAAACCAGTTTGGCTCAGTGGATAGAGTATCGGTCTGCGTACTGAAGGGTCCCAGATTTGATTCCGGTGGGGGGTGTGCAGGGGGCAGCTGGTCGATGTCTCTCTCTCAATGTTTCTAGCTCTCTATCCCTCTCCCTTCCTCTCTGTAAAAAATCAATAAAATATATTTTTAAAAAATAAAAATAAATTTAAAACTAAATTAAACCAAATCAACTCGGGCACATTTCAGGTCCTCAAAGGCCAGGTGTTGCTATGGCTCCCCTTGGGGGCCGTGCAGACACAGAACACTTCCATCGCTGCAAAGGTTCTAGCAGACAGTGCTAACCTAGGCTCTCTCAGAGATTCCTAAAAATTCAGAGTTGGCACCTTTTCAGAGAGGGAGAACAAATATGCATAGACACTGTCTTCATGACTTCATGAGCTAGTTCCCTCCTTTACCAGTTTGCAGAAGTGTTATTCTTTGTAAGCAAGATGAATTTAAGGGTGTGACCAGAATAATACAGTTCATATGGGTACCTGTTTGACATACCAAGAATCAGCCTACTAAGGATTGTGTGGCAACAAAGAATCCCAATAGTAGTGATGGGAGTGTGAGGTGACTGGGGTGGAGACGAAGGGTTGACTGTGGTTCGAGAATTCCCATGAAAAAAAAGCCCACAAGATGCCAGAAGCCAATTCAGCATGTTATGTATTCAGCAGGGCTGAATCATCTGGGAATGGCTAAAGGCATTTCCTTAAACCTGAAAAGGATACATAAATTAATTGCTGGCTGCCAGACAGCTCAGGGCATCTTAATCTACATTCTATCGCCTCCTCCTGGCCAAACACCTGAACAGCTGAAGGCAATTCCCCAACCTGACAATGGATTCTGTACTTAACTCTACCCTTTGATGTGTATACCTCCACCTTGCCTTAGGACAAATTGTGTTAATAAATAGCAAGGGGTCCTGAGACAAGGAGAACTAAGACTCATCTGGCACCCCAAATGCCTTCCAAAATTATGTCTCATCTCTGGACTCTTAATTTACGCACAGCACCTTCTCCAGATTACAGAACCCTTCTAGATGCTGGATCAAGACCCACTGGCAACAAGACAAAGCAGCTGGTGAGGAAATGGACAAAACAATGAGAAAAGAGCTAGTGATTAAAAATTGCTCCAAGATTTCGTGCATTCCCTTAGCAACCATTGTTTAGCACCCATGGTGTGCTGACCACCGCTTAGTGCTGGCAAAGCAACAATGAATAGGGTTCAGTCTCCCTCCTAGAGCTCACAGTCTGGTCAAGGCAGAGCCAAAGAAATAATGATAGTGCACAGTGAGAGACAGCAAGACGGAAACCAGAGGGAAATTTCCTCTGCCTGGCAGATGGGGTCAAGGCCACCACAGAGGGATCACTGGTTGGTGATTGTCATGCTAACAAGGGCATTCCAGGCAGAAGGAGGCCAATCGCTTTAAAGAGGCTGCCTCTGAGAACCAAGTGAGGTGAGGCCTGCATGGTAGGCAGCGTGCATGTGGAGGGACAAACTGGGTGAGGCTAAAGAACTGCAGGGAGGTTGTCAGGACAGGTGAGGTGGGGGAGGAAAGGAGGTACATTTCTATCCTAGGGCAATGAGTGACATCACTGCCCAAGACAGAGAAGGGACAGAATGTTCTGCATTACTTACATGGTGAAACCCTGAAATGGCGTCCGCCCCATACTCGCTCTGAATAATCGGCTTCTGATAGGTCTTGTACCAGTTCTCAAACTGGGTGGCCAGCTGCAGCTGAATCACCTCCAGGTGCCCAAAGTCATGATACCAGGAGAAGTAGCTGTTCACACAGATGACATCCACGTATGGTGCCTAGGACAAGAGCATGAAAGCTTGTCCCTGCACCCGAAGTTGGTGGAAGTCAGGACTCTCCTACTCAGGAGCCATTCTGACAGAGCAGGTAAAAAGGGGACATGGAAAATGATCTAGATGCTTACACGTGTAGTCAAGGAGTGACGCGAATGGACAAGTCTACACTCCTGGACGGACGCTCCTGACCTGGCTAAGGTTCTGGTGAGGGCTGAGGCTGAGGGAGCTGCCCTAAGTGGAAGCCTAGGACCCATCCAACTGGATTCTGCTCCTCTCTAGTTATGCTCCTGTCACTAGCTAGAGAGGAACAGAAGACAAGGCTGTAGTCCTCCCCCATCTGACCCTGGAGAAATATTCCCAGCTGGGATGCGGTTTTCCCCGTACTGTTTCTGAGCTTGTACTGTGGGCCCTAAAGTGGCTGGAAGATTCCCTCCTAGCAGGGCAGCCACGATGATGGAGCGAAACAGCCTGGAGTCTAACCAACGCAGAGCTCAGGAGCCGGCAGCAAAGACTGGACAGCCCAACGCTGAGTCTCTAATGCCGGCTCGCCTCCAGATCCCGCACCGGGACCGGTATGGGCCGTCTTTCCCAGGTGACCACAGCCTCTTTCCAAACCGTGGTGGGTAATGCGGAGGAGGAGGAAGCTGGGGGCGCCTCCGGGTGGACACGTGCACACGATCACACATCCCGCCAGGTGTCTGCAGCCCGAGGCGGCCCTGCTGGTGCTTGTCTTTGTGCCTCTGACGGGGGCTGTCTCACAGATGGCAGCGGAGCTTCTTTCCATTGGGTGATCACATTTATGTTTCTATAGTGTTTTCTCATCCATTCTCTCTCTAGATGACTTCTCTCTCTGTGGCACTTCCCTCCTAAGTGCTGCCGTCAGTTCTCCAGGGGAGCATTTTCTTTGTGCCCATGTTTCTCAGCTTCCAGTGCAATTGAACGCATTGTTTCCAAAGGGCTGCTGTGCCAGGGCACAGGAATGGGGGGTTGGGGGGGGACCTCAGTGAGGGAGGCTGTTGGGCCAGCCAGCTTTGGGTCCTGCACTTGGATCCTCAATCTAGATCTAGTCAATGGTTCCCAAAGCTGGCTGAAGACCGGAGTCCCTGCAGAGCTTTTTACAACTCAGATTCCCACCCCGGACTGACTCAATCAGCATCTCAACATCCGGACACCTTAGTGGTTCTGATGATCAGCCAGGTTTGAGAAACAATGGACAATGATGACTTGAGTCTCCCTTAAAACTTGGCCACTGTATGAGCACAGTAAACAGGGGTGCATACAAGTAAACGGAGGCACCTAGAATCTGAAACGAGAAATTAAATATCCGTGTGCCTGGCCTCCTTGGATTAGGAAGCCACACTGCCCAGTGAACAGCAGGTAGTTAGCTTTGACCTACAGCCCGTCTATGAAAATGCTGGGCTGGCCGTTCATGATTCTTCCCCCCACGTGGCCCAGGAGCCCCCCTCCCCCCTCCTCGAGGATTCTGCTGTACAAGGTGTCCCCCTAATGACCTGGGCCCACATCAGGAGGAAGGACTCGAGGATAGGAGAAATGAGAGGTGTGGGGAGCCCCCCAGGCTCACCCCGAGGTCTGCGTCATACTTGGAGTTGGTCACGAAGGTCACGGGCCGGGAGGGGTCCAAGGCTTTGGTGTGAGCAATCAGCGTCCTGTCGCGGAGGCAGAAGACAGGGCTGCTGACAACTGAGAGGGGCTGTCAGCCACCTCTCAATCCCTCCCTCTCATCCCGCTCCCCCCAAATCCATTGCTCCCCTCCTTCCTCTAAGTGTACTTTAGGTATGAAAACACGTCCCTCTAGTCCCTCATGTTCGCTGACATCATTCCTTCTCCCTCCCCAAATCCGAGCTTCCCCTCCTCCAAAGAGGCCACCTCGCAGGGAGCCCTGGGTCGTCGGGCTGGGCACTGCCAAAAACTTGGTTCTGAATCTCTGAAAAAGCTCTTGACGACACGATCGGATGGGGCGTTGATTAGAACAGCGGTTAATTTAACAAATAATTAGGGAGTGGTGCTGGGTAGCAGGGTGTGTGCTGTGTGCAGGGCACTCGCACACACTTCGCAGCCATGCCATAGCTTGTGGAGCGTGGGAGCAGAGGCACTTGCAGGTGTGAGAAACTGCAACTGCACGTGGTAGCAGGAAAGGGGGTTCTAGGAGACCATCAGTCCCAGGGCCCATCGCTGACAGGGGAGTCAGCGTGGGCCTCTCTGAAGAAACGGCATTCATGAACCGAGGAGGGATGGCAAGGAGAGGCTTCCCAGCAGAGGAACCCGTCAGAGGTCTCCCAGGGCTGGTCACCCGTACTCCCTGGTTAAGCCCATGTTCCTCTATTCCTTCCTCACACCTTTTCTTTCCTTTACACCTTCTCCTCATAATCGCTTTTTTCATTCGAAGGCTCTGCTTTCCACAGGCCAGGACTGTACCCCTTACCCTCAAGCCTCAAACCCACACCCCGAAAGGGCCTGTTTGTCCCCTGGGAAGGCTCAAAGCCTCGCTGAGCTCCTCCAGCCCAGGCAGCTCTATCCACGCCCCGCCCCATCCTGCTGCTCCAAAACTCATGCATCTCCCTCTTCCCGCCTCCCAGAAAAGCCCGTCTGGAACCTCAGGCACCCGTTCCTGGGAGCCTATCCTTTCACCCTCACAACAAAAATTCTGTCCACCAGCCCTGGCTCAACACACTACGGGGCCCCATGCACTCTGGGGCTGGGTGTGCAGAGCTGTGGGTCACTCTGCCCAGGTGGGCCCTCCTCAGAGCCTTCTACAGATGTGGCTCAGCTGAGAGCACTCCATGAAACTGGCATGCAGTGTACCTCAGGGAGTGTTTTAATAGCCTCTTGCAGCAAGTGAAATGATTTTCCTCTGCAGGCAAAGTTATAACGGGCAGGACTGTAAGGAAGAGAAGGAACCCAAGTCCCGGCACCAGCCCCAGCCTACCTTGCTTCACAGCTGGGCCTCGCCTGAGCACTTCACAAGCCCAGATCTCTCTGTAGCTCCTGCCCGGTGGCCCCAGGCAGCGGCTGACTTAGCACCTCCTGGGAGGCTCCAGAGCCAGTGCAACAGGTGAACAGCTTCAGGTTATACCAGATTACAACTCGACACATCCACAAGCAACACACTCAAGGGGGAGACTCAGTGAGCACCAAAACCCCACTGAAGCAAGTCCTGCTTCACAGGGAAATCTGCACAGCTGCTCTTCCACTGCAGTCATACCTGGTCTTCACAGCCAGTTGAGTTGGAGGTCAAGTCCTCCCAGTGATACTAATTGTAAGCAGGGCACACCTAGAATGCCCAGCTCAGGTGACGGGGGAGGCTGAGCCACTGGGCTCTAGAGGACACCTACTACACAAGGCCCCCTACGGATTCCAGGAGACACAGCAGCTCTACCCAATACATAGAAAGAAACGCAGGGAAGCAGCCAAATGTGGAGACAAATAAACATGTCAGAAATGGAAGCAAGCAAACTACTGGATATAGAGTTCAAAAGAATGGTTATAAGGTCACTCAAGGATCTTAACGAGAGCTTCAAGGGACACAAAGAATGCTTCAAGGAACTTAGTGAGACTTTTAAGTATCTTAGTGAGAACGTTGAAAATATGAAAAAGGACCGGTCAGAAGTTAAGCCTACACTATTGAAATAAAGAATAATTTACAGGGATTCAATAGTAGAGGATTCTGAGAATCAAATCAATGTTTTGGAATATGAGGAAGTAAAAACACCCAATCAAAAGAACAGAAGAAAAAAAAAATCCAAAAATATGAAAATAGTGTAAGGAGCCTCTGGGATGATGTCAAGCACACCAAAACTTGCGTTATGGGGGTACCAGGAGATGAGAGAGAGGAAAATATTGAAAACCTATTTGAAGAAATAACAACAGAAAATTTCCCCTACCTGGTGAAAGAAATAGACTTACAAATCCAGGAAACACAGAGTCCCAAACAAGAGAAACCCAGAGGCCCACAACAAGACACATCATAATTAAAATGCTAAAGACAAAGAGATAATCTTAAAAGCAGCAAGAGAAAAGCAGTTACCTACCTACAAGGGAGCACTCATACAAACATCAACTGATTTCTCAACAGAAACTTTGCAGGCCAGGTGGGAGTGGCAAGAAATATTCAAAGCGATGAATAGCTACAACCAAGTGATGAATAGCAAGGAGCTACTCTATACAGCAAAACTATACTATATAATAAAAGCCTAATATGCTAAGTGTCCAGTCAGTCCATCCGACCAATCAAAGCATAATATGCTAATGATATGCTAAGGCTACTCAACTGCTCACTATGATGTGCACTGACCACCAGGGGGCAGACACTAAAACTGGTAGGTTAGCTTCCTGTTGGGGTCCAGCTGATACCGTGTTTCCCTGAAAATAAGACATCCTCCAAAAATAAGACCTAGCACATGGAAAGATAAGACATCCCCTGAAAATAAGACCTAGCGCAACTTTAGGAGAAAAAATTAATATAAGACACTGTCTTATTTTCGGGGAAACAGGGTAGGAACTGAGCGAGACAGGTTGGACATGCCCTGGAGCCCTCCTGTGGTCCCTCCCCTGCTGGCCAACTTCCCGTGTCCCTCCTTGGCCCTGATCGTGCATCGGTGGGGGTCTCTCAGCCTGGCCTGCACCCTCTTGCAATCTGGGACTCCTCAAGGGATATTGGAGAGTCAGTTTCGGCCCAATCCCGCAGGCCAGGCAGAGGGACCCCCTGGTGCATAAATTCATGCACTGGGACTCTAGTCATTTAGAACTGAAGGTCAGATAAAAAGCTTCACATACAGGAAAAAGCTAAATGAGTTCATCATCCACCAAACCAGTTTTAAGTGAAATGTTGAAGGGTATTCTTTATGAAGAGGAAGAAGAAGAGATAAAAAGTATGAACAATCAAATGGCAATAAATACATATCTATCAACAATTGAATCTAAAAGTCAAAATAAACGAACAAGAAATTTAATGAACAAAATAAACTGGTGAATAAAATAGAATCAGAGGCATGGAAACATGAAACAAACTGACAAATCTCAGCTGGGGGGGTTTGGGGGAGGAAATTAGCCAAAGATCTTACATGCATATATGCATTACCTATGGACACAGACAATAGGGCGTTAAGTCTGGGGAGGGCTGGGAACCGGGTGGAAGGTGACAATGGGAGAAACGGGGCACATCTGTAATACCCTCAACAACAAAGATTTAAAGAGAGAGAGACAGAACCAAGGAAGACAGGGAAAGGAGGATCCCTCCCACTGTGGAAACACTGCCCCCAAGTAGTGTTTCTTTCCATTGCAATGCAGGGAGAGGGGAGCAGGGAGGGAGGAGCTACTTGGAACCATGAACTTTAGATGGCCTGGTCCTAGCCAAATGTAACTCTAATAGAATACTTAGACGTTGAAAAGCCTGTTTATAATTATGTGGGCAGATAAGCTGGTTTTATGAAGCCTAGCTCCACTTCACAGATGAACCGAAGCATCACAAAGTGGATGGTCTTTTTTTTTAGTTTAACATACTAAGTTTCCCAGGAATGGACACACCATTAGAGGTGAGGGTAGATTAGCCCTAGTCTGTTTGGCTCAGTGGACAGCACTGGCCTGTGGACTGAGGGTCCACAGTTCAATTCCAGTCAAGGGCACATTCCTGGGGTTGCGGGCTCGAACCCCAGTGTGGGGTGTGCACGTGGCAGCAAATCAATGATTCTCTCTCATCATTGATGTTTCTATTTCTCCCTTCCTCTCAGAAATCAATCAAAAAATATATATCTATATCTATATATATAGAGAGAGATATAGATATATAGATATATAGATGTATAGATATATATCTAAATATATATAAATTTATATACATATATATTTTTTTTTTAAGTGAGAGATTATACTTTGTTTTGTGTGGAACTTTACCTAGAGTGGTTCACCATTTTGGAAATGTGTGGCACTGAAGGGAACTGTTTGGGGTACCAGTGCCAACATGGCACTACTGCTGTTAGCTTTTGGAGTTATGCTTTCAGGGGATTCTACATCTGACCCCTTCACTGGTCTTCTAGGGAGTCAGGCCCATGAATTCATGTATTATTATATAAATGACTCCTTGATATCACAGTTAGGCCATACCACTATTTCTTTTTTAAATTTAAAGTTATATGTATAAATAGGTTAAGTTACCTCTGGATTTCATTTCAGGTGTGAAAAGCAGACTCTGAGTCTCACTGAGTTGAAATTACAACAGGTGGGAAGGGATCTGGTCCCCTGAACTGAGCACGTCTGGATGCACTCAAGTCTGGGCAGGGAGCTGGCTGCTGGCTCCCCTACAGCACACACCCTCCTCAGGGAGACCTCAGCTCTCCATGGCCGAAGGCAGGGTCACTTCCCTGGCCCAGGCCAGGGCAGGAGAGGGCACTCACTTGAAGTAGTAACCCGCAGGTTCCAGGGAGGAAGCGGGCTCGTTGGCCACAGACCACATCACGACAGCCGGGTGATTCTTGTCCCTGCGCACCAGCTCCTCCATCACCTCCAGGTGGTGCTGCAGAGACTGGTTGTTGTAGCTCTGGCTGCGGGTGGGGAGAAAAGGGAGTGCGTCCTCGTCACCTGCCACGGTGGCCGGCGGGGCAGCCTGGGCAGCGGGCACTCACCTCAGCACGATGCCCACGCCAGGGCTCTCATCGATGACCACAATCCCATACTGGTCACAGAGCTGCATCACCTCCTCCGCATAGGGGTAGTGGCTGGTCCGGAAGGCGTTGGCACCAAGCCAGCGAAGCAAGTTGAAGTCCTTCATCAGCAGTGGCCAGTCGAAGCCCTTCCCTCGGATCTAGAGGACAGCGAACTAGAGTGGTCCCTGCCTCCTGCCCCTGGTGCACTTCCTTCCAGAGCTGGACCCATCAGCCCTTTAGCCAGCCGAGCACGGACCTCATCAGGCAGCAGTTTTGAGCAGTTTGCTTAACTGCTCTGAGCTGCCCTCAGCCACTGCGGGGGCACGGGGAAGGTAAAGATGAGGAACAGCCCCTCAGGGACCCAGGAGCCCCAACTCACGTCTGCATCCTCATGCTTGTTGACCCCACGGAAATAGAAAGGCTTCCCGTTAATGAGGAACTGGTTCTTGGTGACAGCCACGGTGCGAATCCCCACGGGGAGCAAGTAGAAGTCAGACTCGTACCCAGCTGCGGTCTGCACCGTCAGCCTTGCCTATGAAAGCCAAGCACTGGAGTGAGGCATCCTTAATGGCTGAGTCCCACACAGCCGCCCAGCAGCCCACCTCTGGGACACACGCAGAGAGATTGAGAAATTACAGACTCCTGCCATTAGCAAGGAAGAACCTCTCCCCACCCTTCCTTCCGGAAGCCCATTCCAGCCTGTCAGCAGGGCTGAATCATCTGGAGAATTGCCGAGGGCATTTCCCCAAATCTGAAAAGGATGGCTGCCTCTTGCCAGACAGCTCAGGGCATCTTAATCTACATGTTATTGCCTCCTCCTGGCCAAACACCTGAACAGCTGGAGGTAGTTTCAGCAACCTGACAATGGATTCTGTGAACTTGAAAACCCTAGCCTTCAGATGTGAATATCTCCACCTTGCCTTAGGACAAATTGTGTTAATAAAAAGTGAATGGGTCCTGAGACAAAGAGAACTTGGTGTCTTTAGCCAAGCTCCTCTGACTCCCCATGATGCCTTTCAAAATTATGTTTTGTCTCTAGACTCTTGTTTACTTACAAACAGCGCCTTTTCCAGATTTCTGAACCCTTCTAGATTCTGGATCAAGACCACTGGCACCTGCCCCTGAGCCTGCTCTTCAAATCTGGGCTGCCCCACCAAGGGTTGAAAAAAACTTGGGCTGAGAATGCTTCAGTCCAATTGACTAGGAAGCTCAGAGGCCCATGCCTGCCGTCCATCTGTCCAATCACCTGCTAAAGCCAGGTAAGGTTGCTGGAAGAGGGCAAAAGGCCTCCCACAGCCTCAGTCTTAACCGCCATTACCTCCAACGTGTACAGGTAGGCAGGGTGCTCATGCATCAGGTACGGCCACCAGAGGTGGGCATTGGGCACCTGCAGCTGGCCGCGGCCTCCAGACTCCTGGGCCACAATATTGCCTTTTTCATCCCAAAGGAATACTTCCAGCTCAAAGTGTTCACTACCCTGGATGGAAATCTGGTAATACACCAGCCCTGTGGGAGACAAGAGATCAGAAAAGAGAGAAGGAAAGATGTGACACAGGTGGGAGGACCCTGAAGCCACCACCGAGACCCCAGCCAACAACTATTTTCTGAGCTTGACCTGCAGTGAGGAGACTGAGGGCAGCACAGTTGAAAAGGGACATGGGATCCCCATGTAGCCTGAGTGATGTGATTTAAGGCAAGCCCATTTCTCAATGGGCTTTATTTCCTCATAAAATGAGGTCAGGCCAGATGATAATTCAGAAGCCCTTCCCAGCTTACACAGGCTGGATTTTAGCTCCTTAGGTAAAGGGGACCCTGTGAGGGGTAAGAAATGCAGGAAGAGCCTTTCTCCTGCAGCATCTTTCAAAGCTGGGAGCAGAGCCACTCTGAGGCTGGGGGAGGGAAGATCCTGCCGGAGCCCTCACCGGTGCCTTGGTCCACGCTGGTGGTGACGTCGATGTCATCGATGTAGGCGGTGGGCGTGGTATAGAGGATCACCGGCCGGTGCAGGCCCGCGTAGTTGAAGAAATCAAAGTGTGTGTCCTGGACAAAGTAACTGTGGGGGTACCTAGAGAGGGAGGACAGTGGCCAACTGGGGTCTTGCCCTGAGGCTTTCCCCTCACTTCTGTCCGCTAAGGCAGGAGGGAAGGCCGCGGGGCAGGGTGGGGACTGGAACGGGGAGCAGGTTCCGCTCACTTGGAGGTGTCGGTCTCATAGACGATGGTCCCCGGCGGCAGGGTGTGGGGGGTGAGCGTGTTGTTGACGGCGATGGTGATACGGCAGGAGGACATGGGCCCAACCTGGACCAGCTTGCTGATGTCAACCTCGAACGGAAGATGGCCCCCCTCGTGCTCGGCCACATGGACCCCGTTCACCCACTGCGGACACAGGAAGATAGGGGGCAGGGGGCCGGAAGGAAGGGCACTGCCATCTCAGAAACCCCCTCACACAGAGGTGCCCTGCCAGCTCCTGCCCGCCGCACCAGCCTGATGGGAGGAATGGAGCGCCGTGGAGATCAGACAACCCTCCCCAGCGAGGGGCATGAGCGTTTCCCCCACCCCCCCACCCCAGAAGGCAGGCAGCTGGGTGACAGTGGGAGTCAGGCACCCCAAGGAAGACCCGGGCGTGCTCAGCGGCCGCGCCGGCCCATCGCCCTGCCGGCCACTCGCCGTACTGACCACGATGGCATAGTAGTGGGCGCTGCCGATCCTCAGCACCACTCTCGTGTGCGTGTCCTGGGTCCAGCGCTGCGGCAGCGCTGCCTCTCGTTCGTACCACACCCAGCCGACAAAGCCACGCAGCCGCCCGTCCTGGCCCACGTCATTGAAGCTGGAGGGGACAGGCATGTCCAGGGTGGGACCCGACTGGGGGAAAGAAGGGCCGGGATCAGGTCCAGACCACCGGGAATCTAAGACCAGGGCCCAGGCAGCCCCCTTCCCCAGAGGCCAGGTTCCCCTGCAGCCCTGTCTTCAGACCCCGGAAGTCTAGGCCACCTCACCATTTGTGATTCTTTGCCAGCAACTGACCAATGTTTTTTACGGAGCTCATTTCATTCTCACAGCTCCATGATGTGGACACGAGTCACTAACTCACTCAGTGGACAGTGCAGGGAGCACCTGCAGTGCTGTTCTGGGCACCAGGGAGATAAGGTGAGCAGGCCTCTGCGGGCAGGTGGTCAGCTCTCTGAAGAGCGTGCTGACAGGGGCAGGGGACTATCTTAGGGGTCGGGGAAGGCCTTTTGGGGCCAGGGCCAAGGGGATACAGCCTCAGGACAACCTGGCGGAACTGGGTGAGCCTGAGCCCGCTCGGCAGGGAATCCCGTGAACACCTCGGGTCCACGGCAAGGCAGGAGTGAGGCCGAGAGCTCAGTGAGCGGACACAGCCTGGCTTTCCCAAGGACAGCGTGGATGTGGGCGGTGGGACCACTAAGGAGGGGATTTCCTCAGTTCTTCACAGCTCTATCCCCAGGGTCTGACACAAGCTCTGGAACCGGATAAATACTGGCTGAATGGATGGATGGGTGGATAACTTGCAGATCAGGGATCGCCTGCTAGGATGGTTTGTGTCCAAGGACTGGTGGGGCCAGTGCTTTCTCAAGGCCACCAGCACCAGGGAAAGAGGTGGCCCAGGACCACAACGCAGCCTGAATGAAAGGAGGATCGATCGGCAGAGCCCAGAGAACAAGAGGAAGATAACTGACTGGCCGCCCCAGGAGGAAGGCGGGCCATGCAGGGGCTGCTTCGCTGGGGAAACTGTGAGTGGGGCACATGCCTGGCACCCAGCACCCCTAGACCGCCACTTCCTTTTTTTCCTTCCCTGCTGAATGCTGGGCTGCAACCCCCAAAATAGGATCTGGAGAGGCACACAGGCCAGGTCCAGCCCACTTCTGGCTGACCCGACTCCAGGCAGAGGGGAGACCTGGGGGGTCCCAGGCTGGACCTCTACCTGTACCTGGACCCGCGGTCCTGCCGGCCAGGGCAGAGCTGGTCCCGAGGAGTCCAACGCCCGCCCTCCCCCCGCTGCCCTCCCTCCTCCCGCTGCCCGCCCGGCTCACCCCACTGACCGGGCTGGACCTGGCCCTTCCCGCCCCGGGAGGTGGGCGCCCGCCCCGCAGACTTTCGGTTCCGGTCCGCCCTCCGCTCGTCAGCCTTTCCGCGACCGCAGATCCCCCGGCCCCCAGCTCTCCAAGCCGGTTACCCTGAACCCCTCCGGGCCGCAGCCCCGCGGGCTCCCCGGGACTCCCCGCCCCCGGCGCCCGCACCTCCCGCAGCGGCGCCCGGTACCACTGCTGCTCGAAGCCCTGGCGCCGGTTCTCGGAGAAGTCGGCGCGGAACTTCCAGAGGCCGCCGAGCTCCTTGCGCTCCCGCGACGGGCTCTCCCGCGGGTACAGCATCCCGCCCCGCAGCGCCAGCGCGCAGCCCCACAGCAGCGGCCCGAGCGCCCAGAGCCCTGCCGCCCGCCGCGCCATGGCTTCCGCGCGCCCTCCCGCCGCTCTCGGCTCTCCGCTCTCCGGGTGCAGGGGGCGCCGCGTGGGAGGCGGGGCCACCGGGGGCGGGGCCACCGGGGCGGGACCGGGGCCTGGAGGGAAAGGGGGCGGGGCCTAGAAGGGGCGGGGCGGGACCGGGCCGGGACCTAGAGGGGGCGGGCCAGGACCGGGGCGTGGGGGCGGGGCGTGGGGCCGGGAGGGGCGGGGCCGGGATGGTAGGGGCAGGGCCTGGAGGGGGCGGGGCCACGGGTCCCGGTTTAAGCTTCAGGCGAGCTCTTGGCTTAAGGCGGTGCCGTCCTGGCGGAGACGGGCGCCGCTGCTGCTGCGGTGGGCACGCCCCGTCTGCCCGAGGGCTGCGGGGACCCCGAGGCTGGACTTCAGGGAAGAGGAACCCCAAGCCTCCAACCCCGAAAGGTGCCCGCCCCACCCCGCCCCCGTCACCCTTCCCCACCTTCCCGGGGACACAGCCTGCGCCCCGCCCTCCCGGACTGCTCCGCCCCGGGTGGCCGGGCCTGGGCCGCGGGCCAGAGCGAGACCTCGCAAAAGGCCGAGATCCCCCAACTCCCACTCGGACTGTTTCTTCAGAGGCCGCCCTGAGCCTCCATTGCGTTTGCCTGTCAGACCCCAGTGAGCCCGGGCGAGGTCTTCCCAGTACCTGGTGGGTCCCTCCGCGGGGACTCCAGACCCAGGAACCAGGGGCCCCAAACCCCTACGCTGGGGGCCAAGAATGCAAGGATAGGGGACTGATGGCCCAGGTAACCCAGTCTGGATATCATTGTTCGCACAATTACCTGACTTTTTTTTTTTAATTACTTTTCATTTTTGCTCTGATTTCATGCTTACTTAAGCAAGTTTCTGATAGTGGGCCTTGATACTAGAAATGGAATCTCAGGGCAGTAAAAATAAAATATATTCTAAGAACTGCCAAGATTTAAAGGCTTTCCCCAAATGCTTACAATATAAAAATAAGAGAATGTAAGATGCAAAAGTATATCCAGCATGATCACCACACAAATAAAGTGTTATCATCTATTATTATTGAAGTTGTATAGATTATTTCCATGTTGTTCTTCATATGTTCCCGATTTCTTAAAATCTATAATGAACATGCATCACCATCATCACTATTGATTTCAGAGAGGAAGGAAGAGAGGCAGAGCGGGACAGAAACATCAATGGTGAGAGAATCATTGACTGACTCCTGTGAGCCCCACACTGGGGATGGAGCCTGCAACCTGGGCATGTGCCCTGACTGGGAATCGAACCCTGCCCTCCTGGTTCATAGGTTGATGCTCAACCACTGAGCCCCACCAGCTGGGCGTTTATTAAAGCTGGGGACAGTGAAACAAGGAAGGGCTGGGACAGGAGAAGCAACAGGAGAGAGGCTGGGGCTGCTTTGGCTCACTGAGAGCCCTCACGGTGAAAGAAGTGAGCCAAGGCTGGGCTGCTGTCAGTCACGGGAAAGCCAGAGAAAAGGGGGCCTTGAAGACAGGTTCAGGGGGTTAGTCCCAGAGAGCTGCCACTTCCCATTGCTCCCTGGTGGCAAGTCTCGTGGGGTCCCTTGGAGTTTAGTGGGTCCACGCCTGTGGGGGAAGAGGAGCTGGGAGGCAGGGTGGGAGGGAGAGTGTGCCTGGACATGCATTATTTTTATAATCAGAATCAAGCCGATAGGTCTTTAAAAACCACAAATAGCAAAATAAAGAAATCAGCCAAAGCCGGTTTGGCCAGCGGATAGAGCATTGGCCTGTGGACTGAAGGGTCCCGGGTTAGATTCCAGTCAAGAGCATGTACCTTGGTTGCAGGCACATCCCCAGTGGAGGGTGTGCGGGAGGCAGCTGATCAATGTTTCTCTCTCATCGATGTTTCTAACTCTCTATCCCTCTCTCCTCCTTTCTGTAAAAAAAATCAATAAAATATCTTTTAAAAAATAAAAAAATCAATAAAGGTCTATCTGTCCCTATATATGAATAAATTAATTTTCATTTATTGCCGGAAGCAGATCATTGTTTTAATAATAAAGAGCTGTGGACAGGGAATCTGGAGGGCAGGTCAACCTTAATTGCAAAGGGTCAGAGCTAATCACTAGACATTGGTAGTTGAAGCAGCCCCCACCTGTTAGTCCTAAATCCACTGATTGGCTCTTATTGGGGTTTCCTGCCGAGGGAATGTGGGTGTATTCTGAAGTTTTAATCTTAATGAAAGGGATGGAAAAGCCAGAGCGAGAGTAGTCTCCCCTGGAGGTGGACTACTGCCTGGCCCCCATTTCCCAAACCAGTGCTTTTCAAGTCTTTTTTCATTTGTGTGCGGCCTTCTTCAGAACCGGAACCCTGAACCGGAACCCTGAATCACGAGGGATGTGAAAGGGGTTTCCACAATTTACCCACAAGCCTTTATAGATTTAGTTTGTGCAACTTGATTTTCTTTTGTTGTTGTTGTTGATCTTTTAGAGAGAGTAGAAGGGAGGGAGGGAAGGAGGGAGGGAGAGAGAGAGAGCGAGCATAAATTGGTTGCATCATACACACTCCTCAGCTGGGGTCAGGGAAAGAGCCTGCAACTGAGGTACATGCCCTTGACCAGAATAGAGCCCAGGATGACCCTCCAGTCCGCAGGCCAGCGCTCCCCTCACTAAGCCAAACCAGCTAGGGCTGATCAAGATGATTTTCTACTGAGGCAAGGTTGAAGAAATGGAGTCATTATAGTCAAGCTGCTAAAAATTACTTAGTTAAGTAGGTTGGGTGTGAGGAAATTATTCTATTCTTGCTTTAACTAGTCTGGGAACTTACACTTTTGAATTTTCCAGTCTAGTCAATGCCTGGATGTACAGAAGACCTCCAAGTAACTCTCTGATTACCCTCTGGACTAAGGAACGAATATTCACATATGCAGACCACCTGATGCCCAGGATCCAGACCAATCCGGAGGCTAAGAATGCAGGACTGGTTCGTCTCAAGTATGTACTTTTTATTATAAGAACTCTTGGCTTTTCTTCCTTCTTCAAAGCACTCTCGGTATTGACAAATCGTTATCATTTATTTCAAGCCAGAGCCTCCGGACTCTTTCTGAGTTTGTTCCACGCTCCTACCTAATGGGGAGGAGAATAGAGCAATGATGTAATAGTTTACAAATTTCTGAACCTGAACACCAGACCCTGGTGGGGAAAGTCCACCAGCCTGAGTCTGCAGCTGTGTACAAATACGTGACTCTGGAGATGTGAATACGGGAGTTGTCGGCATTGAGAATGGATGAAAGGAAGGCAGGTAGAGAACGGATGAAAATGTCACCGGCGAAGGGGTTCTTGCTCCTCCTCAAAATAGAAATCAAGCTCTAACCGGTTTGGCTCAGTGGATAGAGCATCGGCCTGTGGCCTGAGGGGTCCCAGGTGATTCTGGTCAAGAGCATGTACCTTGGTTGCGGGCACAACCCAGTGGGAGGTGTGCAGGAGGCAGCTGATTAATGTTTCACTCTCAACGATGTTTCTGACTCTCTATCCCTCTCCCTTCCTCTCTGTGAAAATCAATACTATATATTTAAAAAGATAGAAATCAAGAGAGGAGGTGAAACAGATTTAGAAGAAGAGGTTTCCTGAAAACAAGGTGGAGAGAAAGGAGAAAGGGAAGGAGCATGCCGCATGCAGGCAGCACACCCTCATGCGGAATGTGGGCCCGCACTCTGCCAGGGCGGCTAGCTGGCTGGGTGGAGCTCTCCGCTTTCCAGGCTCCACCGGGCAGGTCCAGAGGAGCGCTTTGGGGAGTGCCTGAAGGGAAACTTTAAATGTATGTGGGAGAGGCTTCAAAAATACCTGAAGAGCATCTCCATCCGTTTGAGAGGCTCAGCCTGCCTCAGGGAGAGATCTCTGAGACGCCCCCACTGTGAATGCAGGATGGAGAGGCAGGAACTGGTCCTCTTCTCCTTGATGGCAGAGTCAAACTCCCGACACATGGTTTGTCCCAGCCTGATGCCCGCCCACCTGCGGGCCTTTGTGCCTTTTCCTCCCTGGAAGCCCTTCCTCCTTGACTAGTTAACGCTTCCTTAAGAACTCTCATTCTTCGCCGGGACCGGTTTGGCTCAATGGATAGAGCGTCGGCTTGGGGACTGAAGGGTCCCGGGTTCGATTCCGGTCAAGGGCATGTACCTTAGTTGCGGGCATATCCCCAGTGGGGGGTGTGCAAGAGGCAGCTGATCGATGATGACTCTCTCTCATCGATGTTTCTAACTCTCTATCTCTCTCCCTTCCTCTCTGTATAAAATCAATAAAATATATTAAAAAAAAAAAAAAAAAGAACTCTCATTCTTCAAACTCAGCTCAGACGTCTCTATCTTCCCATTCCTAGGCCTCCAGGGCACTGCCAACACACACACACACACACACACACACACACACACACGCTCGCGCGCACGCGCGCACACACTCTAAGTTCACTGAGGAATTTGGCGCTTGGCTCGGGCCCTTCTCCATCCCACTTCACGGCCTGTGAGTGGCCTTCCCGTACTGAGTCTTGACCTCTGCCACCTCCTTGACCTTAGTCCTTTCCCTTCCTCTGTTTGCTCATTTCCACGCTGTAGACTTTCATTTTCTGAATCCCTGAGATTTCTCCCAGCGACCGTCCTCTCTTCCCACCATCCCCGCTCATCCGAAACCTGCTCTTTAACGATCCTTCCCTCGGGCTGTGTTCCTGTCCAGTGAGCGTGAAGTGAGGACAGTGCTGCTGACACCTAAACATCACACGTGCCTCCCTGGCTCTCTGTTACGGGGTGCCATATTTGGAAAAAATCAACAATAAACTTGCTCCTTTGCCAGATGGAGCTGCACTTCTCCCCTCCCTATTTTTTCTGAATAGAGCTGCCTGCTCCTGGTTTCTCAGCCTGGAAGCCACTCCACCAAAGCCGTGCAGCTCCCTGGGTCACCCGCCTCCCCATAGCTTCTCCTCTGCCTCCCCTTTTCTCTTCCTCACTGGCCAGCACCCGCCTATCCCTGCGGAATC